TGTCCCTCAATCTCAAGAGAGATTATTGAGAACAATGCGGGGGGCACTTGGAGAGAAAGACAGGAACAACAGAAGAAAGAGAAAACACGGGCTTTGCAGCTAACAGCCTATATTTCCCAGCTCTATTAATGCTTAACCCACCTTAGTTTCCTCACCTATAAAACAGAGCCGATAACAGTGCCTGCCTAACAGGGTTTCTATGAGGATTGAATGATACAATCCACATTAAAAATTTAGTATGTCATTGGACATCCAGTAAGCACTCAATAAATTTTAGGAATTATTATGAACAGCTCAATTCAGAGAGAACAAAATCACTCAATAATAAAAATTTCATCTCCCATCCAAGTATTTCATTCTTTGCCTTTAACAAGAGTTATTTTTCCCGAGAATGAGGGTGATGGAGGAAGGGAAACAAATCCAACCTGCTCTGAAAACTGGCCCAAAGCTGCGCCTTCTTCACCGTTCAGAGTGAAAAACGAAAGGCCTGCCTCCAATGAAACTTCAGTCTGTGGGTTAAACAATGGAAAAGCAGTACTCAGTGGTGAAATGAACACTTTTTCTGCTTATACGTGAAAGAGAGGTAATAAGGTAAGTAGTAATAAGTAGTAACTATTATCTTATTCGTGAGCAAGGAGCAGAAGGAGAGACAATATCAAGTTATATTTAACTTCAAGTCTGACTTATGAATTTTTGTTTTGTTTTAAAGTTGTGGTAACTGCAATAAAAAACAGAATAGAGTGTAAATCCTCTCCATCTTCCCTATCTCTTCACTCTAGTCAGAGTATTAAGAGCATCACCTTACACTTCTATCAAAATGCGGGCTCAGGGCAAATGGTTTTATCTCTCCCCATTTTTAGGTGCTTTCACGTATATGTGTGCTCACACACAAGTACCACTCCACCCATCTACAATGTTTTGTAGAGTGAGAGGTAGTTAAAAGTATTTAAAGTGACATACTCATAGTTATAAACTTGGTGATAAAATAAGCTCTCCTTTTTCAATACTGTATATGTAAAGCCCTTATCACTTTCTTCTCACACACATATTAAAATGAACTGTTTTTAGGGAGGTTTGAGAGAGAAATTAATTCTATAATAAAAAGTAAAACTCAGTCATTAGGAGTAAAATAATTTTAAAATACATAAAATACAAAAGCTTATTTTATATCCTATTTGTGTCTAGGTGCCTAAAATTGGATTACAGTATTGACTTAATATATCTAAATTTACTAAGAATCATTGAATCACATACTTAAAATGAGTGAATTTTTTGCTATATAAAGTATATCTCAATAAAGCTGTCTTTTAGGGTTAAAAAAAGTTATTCACCTTAGACCACTGATTTATCTTATTATCAATGAGCAGATGAGTTGAAGATTTTTCACTTTGATTAATCTGAAACAACATAAATGATATAGAAAACTTAATCTTCACAGATAAACTTAAGTCTTTTTTTAAAATGGATAAAAACCAAGACTTCTCAATGTTTTCCTTTTTAAAAGTATGTACACGTTTCCCCCTAAGATGTCATATATAGTTTCCATGACTAAATCACTTAACTTTTCTTGGATTTAGGTTTGAAAAAAAAAACACATGGAAAAGAACTTGAAGTATTTGGATTTAAGGAACTATATTTAAGACTGAAATTTGGCTCTTTTTTAAAGAAGAAAAGTTAATTTGATACATGTTGCATTTAAACATTAAATATAAAGCCAGGAAAGAAAAAAAACAAGCATTACCTTAGCATTCTTTAGCTTTTCTCTTACTTTGCTCCTGAACATTTCTATTGTGTTTTTATTTTCTTCTTCTGCATCTAAACCTATCAAGAAGCCAACATAATATAGATCTCATGACACTTTTGAAAATAACTAAACAGCAATAGCAGCAAAAGTACTTATTAAATAGCTAAATTGCATGCATTTTTAAGGATCGTGATAATTATGAAGACTGGGACATTGCTGCATGAGGGCTTAGAAGCTCAAATAGATGTCCCTTCCCCCTTTTCCATCTGGAGTAAATACTGTTATATATGCTCAGGACTGGATTTTGTTTCCCCTACCTGTGTGTTCTCAGCTATTGGCTATAGTCCTTCGTTGAAGTTGGGCGGGGGTGAGGGGAGATACTCAGAAAAGCAAATCTTTATCTTTTTCCTTTTGGGAAAAAAATCTGTAAGAACAGTTATATTCTATATAGAATATACAAATATACTCTCTACAGAATATACAAATATCAAAGATAGGTTACTTCATCTTGATGAAACTGGAGAGGAAGGAATCTAAAAGGAAGAGATAAGTTTCTAGGTACCAATTAGTCAGTTTTGTAAAATTTGAGGAGCCCTACTTCTGAAAGCTTTTAGAATGAAACAGTCTTGCAGGGTATAAAGAGAACTCCAGCTGTTGTATGCACCCCAAACTATATGTTATTTCCTACTCATCCGCTAGATGATCCACCAGATGAAGTGAGAAAGACAGGAGTTGAGCAGTCCTAGGTATAGTACAAAGTGGAGGACCTTTGGTCATTTTGCCTTGCATTTTTCTGTTTCTTCTCCCTGCTTCTGACTACTTAAAGGCTGCATAGAGGATGGTGGAAATAAATGGTAAGAAAAAGCTAAATCACTATTGGTCGTAAGAATCTTCATTCTTAACTGCATTATTTCCTGGTATAATTTAAAAATGACTAGTTGGTTTGTTTATACTCTATTCCCAGAACATAGAATGGCAGGGAGCATATAATATGTACTCAATAATGGTGAATGAACTAGGGTTCAACCATTATTTATGTATTTTTCTCAAGATCTAGAACTTCCTGAAGCAAGTTCTACATCTAGTGTCTTCATGGTGTAACAGTCTCAAACACTTGTAGATTCTCCATGTTTGCAGAGAGAGAGAAAATAAAATCTTAATAAAAAATTTCATCACATATATAGACTTTACTAATTATTTCCTTATGCCCATCTTGTATTATCTAGGAAGTTTAGTTTCTATTTGAACTCATCTCTTAATAAACTTGTTCCCAGCTGAAACCCTATGATAGCATTAGTCATTTACATCTTTTTAAAATAAAAACCAACAGCATCAGAATTATGGTATACTTATTGAGGACCTTTTTGAAGATGCTTGTCTACATTTTCTTCTACTGCAATATTATCTGTCTCTTCAGACATCTGCAAAAAAAGGGGGGTGAAAGTTACCTTGCATCTTTTTGTTTTGGCATTGAACACCTTTTCAAATGTTCATCATCCCTTTGAAAGTCATCTCCTTTAAAATGCCAATTCATAGCCTTTGCCTGTTTTCTTAAACTTCATCTTTTTATCAGTTGGTATGAGCTCATTATATATGGTGGGATTTTAATTAAGAAGTTGCTCTCTGTAACATCAAAAAGGACCTTTTCAAAAATATTTTTTTATCCTCACCTGAGGATATGTATATTGATTTTAGAAAGGGAGCGAGAGGAGAGAGGGGGGGGAGAGAGAGAGAGAGAGAGAGAGAGAGAGAGAGAGAGAGAGAGAAACATCTATGTGAGAGAGAAACATCGATTGGAATTGAACCCGAAACTTTTTGCTGTATGGGACAATGCTCCAATCAACTGAGCCATCCAGCCAGGGTTCAAAAAGGACCTTTTAATAATAAAATCCAATGGTTAGTTCTTAGTGATCATATATTGCCTGCTTCATATACCTTTTAGGAGGTTCAAATGAGGTCAGACATATGAAAATACTTTGAAACTCAATGCTGAATCAGTGTTAGCTTTTATCTGATTACATGGCAGCATCTGATGTTGGGCACCTTTATTATCTAAAAACGTTTTATATCCTTGACTTCTACCCTCTTATCTCTCTGGCCACTTACTCCCTGTATCTTCAAAGGTCACACTTCTCCTCACAGCTTAAATGTGGGTTCATTCCAAGGCTTTAGAGAGTGCATGTATTCCCATGGCTTCCTAAATCTATCTCCAACCTGGACTGTTTTGGAATACCATATTTCTAGCTGCCTATTAGTATTTGTAATTGAATGTCCTATCATTATCAATATGCTAAAATGATAACTTATTGCATTTACCATTTTTAAACCTCAATATTCTAAAATTAAACCATACTAGCAATGTTAAATCCTTATTTAGAATGATATGGATGAGTCTGTTTTTCATGTTAAGTTTAAGAAATAGAATAGTAAAAGACTCCTTAAATAACACCTGTACATGCTAACCAAACTAATGTGTAGTTGGAGTGGAAAGAGCAAGCAGACACACATCAGCTTTCCCATCACAGTAAAGATATGGATTCGTGTCAAAAGCCAAAGCAGAGTATTGACACAATCCTAGTAAAGACATTACTATCACAATAAGAACTCTGCCTACACACTTTCTGAAAGAACTTCAAAATCCACCAGTAGCTCCTGTACCATCCTTAAGAACTAATGAATAAGGTCAACATGAACTAAGATGTTCTGTTCTTATTAAACCTTCAGTATCTTCTTCAACACAATTAAAAATATCCAATTCTATTCTTGCCCAAGGGACAGTAACCCTTGAAAGTATGATGAGATATCAACCCTGGCAAGTGATTGATAGAGGTCTCCCTTTAATTCCCAATAATCTTGTCCAGTATTCCCAGGATTTATAACTTCCAATCCCCAGCTAGAAGTAGGGATAAATGTGCAACTTCATATACATGAACAATAGTTTGGTGATTGCAGGGGGGGAGATGGGTGGAAGTGGAAGAGGGCATAGAGGGGATAAATGGTGATGGAAAAATAAAATAAAATGAATCTTAATTGGATTAAAAGACATATAGATCTCAGTCCTAAACGTATATGTTTCACTCACTGATTAAAAAAAGAAAAACATTTTATTTTTAGCAAAGCAGAAATGGATTGCTAACTGGCTGAGAAAAGATAAAGTTAATATTTAAGTAAGGGAATAAATAGTATATACATAAATAACTCATTTCTAATGTTCTTTATTACATAACTGACAGATCAAATAATTCATCCCTAATACCTCTTATTTATTCTTTTAACATATGTATGTGTGATTTATGTATAGAACCAAATACATCACATTTTTAGGATTATACTACATTGATAATTGGGCTATTTAGTATCATCAAAATCCTTATAAGCTCCATTAATACCTTACCTTTTTAATATCTTGTTTTCTCTTTGAGATCTTTTTCATGATGATGGTTCTTTCATTTCTAAATAAATAAGAAATAGTCTTAAGAATGATAGAGCATATTACTGAAAGAAAACCATTATACTTGAGATTAAAGTATGTTATTTAAATTTTTTAATTTAACTGAAAATTAAATAAAGAAATATACTCTCACCTTTAGTAAACAGTAGTTGATCACCTTTAGCATTTAATAGAAATTCTGGTTAATGCAATAAGACATGGAAAAGGAGAGGTATAACTATGGGAAAGGAGAAGACAAGACTATCCTTATCTGTAGAAAAAAGACAAGAAAACATAGAAAACCCAAGACACTCGATGAAAACAGCTTAGACATAATTAGAAAGTTGTTAAGTAGCAGAACTTATGCCAAAGTTAATAGCTTCCCTATATGCTAACAGAAAAAGGTCACTTCATAATAGCAATATAAAACATTTTTCAAATACCTAGGAGTAACCTAGCTTAGAGGGCACAGCCCTCTTAGCATAATTAAGCTTGACCTTAGGAACCCCCTAGATCCTTCCTAGGTAGCTAATGGACTGTGGGAGGTGCAGCAAGTGCTGCCCAAACAAGTGAAACTCACAAGAACATTGTAACTATGGTGACCACTACCTTGTTTACCTCTGGCTATAAAATAAAGGCTCAGCTTGCCCTCTGGGACTCTCTCTGTGGCCTCAGCCAGGCACAGGAGATCCACCTAGATCAGTGATGGTGAACCTATGACACATGTGTCAGAGGTGACACGCGAACTCATTTTTTGGGTTGATTTTTCTTTGTTAAATGGCATTTAAATATATAAAATAAATATCAAAAATGTCTTTGTTTTACTATGGTTGCAAATATCAAAAAATTTCTATATGTGACACGGCACCAGAGTTAAGTTAGGGTTTTTCAAAATGCTGACATGCCGAGCTCAAAAGGTTCGCCATCACTGACTAGACCCAGCTTATTCTCTTCGTCTTTTCTTCAATCCTTTGCTGCCACCCCTCAGGCTCACCGAACCCTTGGCCCGGCCCAGCACAAGTAACTTTAATTAAAATATGTGGGAGCCTAATTGCTGGGAGTTTATTACTGCTTCAATTTCATCAGTAGTTATCAGCCTATTCAGGTTTTCTGATTCTTCCTGATTGAGTTTTAGAAGGTTGTGTTTTTCTAGGAATATGTCCATTTTGTCCAGGTTGTCTCATTTGTTGGACTAAAGTCATTCATAGTATTTGTTTATGATCCTTTGTATTTCTATGGAGTAATTTGTTACTTCACCTCTTTTGTTTCTGATTTTGTTTGTTTGGTTTCTCTCTATTTGTTTCCTGGTTTGTTCATAAATCTTGTTTATCCTTTCAAAGAACCAGCTCTTGGTTTTATTGATCTTTTGTATTTTTTTCCCTCTGTGTCATTTATTTCCGCTCTGATCTTTATTATTTCATTCCTTCTACTTATTCTGGGTTTTTCTTGTTGTTCTCTTTAAGTTGTAGTGTTAGATAACTTATTACCAGTCTTTCTTGTTTTTTGAGGTATGCCTTTTAGTACTATGAACTTCCATTTCAGGACTGCTTTCACTATGTCCCATAGATTTTGGATTGTTGTGTTTTCATTATCATTTGTTTCCAGGATGTTTTTTTATTTCTTCTTTGTTCTCTTTGGTAACCCATTCATTGTTTAATAGCATGCTATTAGCCTCCATATATTTGTTTTTGAGCATTTTTATTGTAGCTGATTTCTAATTTCATGCCATCATGGTCTGAGAATATGCTTGATATGATTTCAATCTTCTTAAATTTGTAAAGACTTAGCGTGCGTCCTAACATGTGGTCTCTCTTTGAAAATGTCCCATGTGCCCTTGAGAAGAATGTATATTCTGTAGCTTTGGGGTGGAATGTTCTGAAGATGTCAATTAGTTCCAGAGAAGAGAATTTTAAATTTACTTTCCATTCTTCAAGGACTTCTAAAAGGAACTTAAAATCAATAGCTGGCTTACTGATGCCTATATCTTCAAATTTTATCTGCTAATCTACAAAAAACATTAGCAGTGATAATCCTATAGAGAGTTAAATTATAATAAATTATAAAATGAAAACCTTATTATAGAAGAAATTATTAATCAAATATTTTTACATACCTGAAAATGTTTCTGACCTGGTTCATTTATCATTCCATAAATGATAAAGGGTAAATTATTATAAACAAAATATTGGATAAAATTGAAGATGTAGATGAAAACTTCATTTGCTCTATTGAAAACATCATGTGGAAGAAAGGAAAAATTTTAACTCACACTTTTACCTTCTTACAGCAATTCAACTTTCTCTGTTAGAAAACTTGCTCCAACAGGTAAACCCAATCTTCTCTTAAAGGATACTGCTAATTTACAATTCTTGCAGTGAAAGCTTTTTCTAAAAGATAAGGCGATTCAGACTTGCTATTTTTGTTTCAGAGGACCTGAAGGTCCATAGTGAAAGCCTGAGAATTAAACTCAAGTAGTTCATTCAGCCTTTTCTTGCTTAGCATTTAGAAATCTCTGGGTTCTGCAAATTAATCCAACAGTGCCTTTATCATTATGGTGATCCCTCAAATAAAAATTCCTAAAGCCGATTTTACTATCTTATGTTTGTGTAAATTTAGTACTGTATGCAATCACCTTGATTACTTCAGTCACATGCCATTTGGTTTCAGGAATGTTTGTAGAATAAAATTATGGGGAAATCACTAGAGTACGAAATGGTCACAAAATCCATATTCCGGTATAGAGTAGTATTTCTTTGGTTAATTATGAGCTAACTAGAAAATTGTTTTTCCTTTAGTTTTCCCCCAGCTGCTGTTGTAAATCTTTCCAAATGCATTAATCCACTTTCCTTCCTCAGAACTGAATTCAGTCCAAAATCCAATTTTATCTTTATCTTAGTTTATCTACTGTCACATAGCATGATGAATCCTTTCTGAACTCCCTAATGTGGAAGGAAAAATTACGACTCACTTTTACCTTCTTAAAGCAATTCAACTTTCTGTGTTAGAAAACTCGCTCCAACAGGTAAACCCAATCTTCTCTTCAAGGATACTGCTGATTTACAATTAGCAGTGTCTCTGAAATCATGCTCCTCTGTGACCACCAAGAGCACTTTGAATTCGTAATTTTTGTACATTACATCCCATTTTGCAAGTTCATCTTTCTGCCAGCCCTAAAGCGAGAGGCTGGGGCGAGCCCTCATCTACCCTCCACCAATCCTAGCAAGGTGCTCAACACACAGTAGGCACTCAGTAGTAAAAAACGGTCCAGGATTTAATGCTATTCAAGCACTGCCATCGGATGGACAGGCTCTGGAGACTACAAGTCCCAGAGGCCCGTGCGGGGCTGGCCCTGGTTACCTGGGTCCCCCCCGCTGTTTTTCCCGTAGTTCAGGACTCCAACCAGGCAAAATCCTGGAGAGCCCGACCGAGAAGGGTTGAGGGGCTTTGAGCCGCAGTACGACCTTCACCTGGACAGACAGTGGACTTCTGCTTCGTCTGGGTGGCGCGGGCAGAACGGGCCGTTTACCGCACACTAGAAGGCACAACCGCCCCGCACCGCT